GAGAGAGAGAGAGAGAGAGAGAGAGAGAGAGAGAGAGAGAGAGAGAGAGACCTGCAGCATGCAGCATGTCAATGGCGGGGAGCACAAGGGCAGGCGCTGACCTCAAAAAAAAAAAAGGAAGTAATTTTATTGGAATACAAGAGTTTTTTCTTTTCGAAATCCGAATAGAAACGGTACATGTTGTATTCGAATACATGTTGTATTCCAATACAACATGTACGTGTTTTATTCGAGGTGCTCTGCTATTTGAGAAAGGTGGACCCGCGCCGGCCCGTGCAAGGCCCCAAAACCTGAAAGTGCCCACCCTCCCGACAACCACTGACGTTGAAATTTCTCAGGGGGGAAAAATGCAACCCTGATGGGCTGCGAACATATGTACATGTGCAAGTGTGCCACTTTGGGGGCAGACGGGTGTGTGGGCACTTGGTGCTGAACCACACAAATGTGGCCAACCTTGCATTTTCTATTTTATTGCCTATCTATACTTTTTGGTTATGGATGGCTTGTGATGGTCTATGAAGGGAATGAGAGAGAGAATCTGGGGTTGTGTACACACACACACACACACACACACACACACACACACACACTCAACATACAGACGCGCACACGCACACACTCTTTGGAATTGTGTATATAGCTAACAAGACAATATACAAACACAGTATAATCACCACCTTACCCCTCCCCAACCAGGTCAACAGATAATCACTACCTTACCCTTCCCCAACCACATCAACAGAAACTAAGGGCTGCGCACCCGTGCCCTCACGGTAGGTCAATGCTACGAGGCTTTTCATTTGTTGCGGTAGCAAAATACACGCCCGCCTCTCACCCGCCACGGGGCCGTCCTCGCACGGACGATAGAAATCGGGCATCGCCACACCACTCTCCTAATGTGCAAAATGAGAATGAACTCTCAGCTAGAACATGGCCAGATGCACCCGCCACATTTTTGTCGCTTTCACATTTCGAGAGTGGTGTGGCGATGCCCATTATCCAGTAATAACTTCGGCAAACTGCCTCGAATAGTTCTAGTCAGAAAAGTCGGGACTTCCCCCTGCGGGGGAGGAAGGCGGGACTTCCCCCCTGCTGGGGAGGGGTCAGCCCAACGGCGACGGCTCGTGTAGCTCGCAGAGGTCACACAACTACACGACACGCCTGCTGGTGGGACTCGGCCCCTGGTCACCACACAGCCCCCCAGATTTTTTTCTTCCAAAAGGCGGAAGTGTACGGGCATCGTTCCACCACTCGGCTGGCGTGAAACGAGCCCCTAACTCTGGCAAAAAAAAAAGAAAGGGTTGGCATGCGAGCAGCGTCTAGGCGATTTGTTTTTTTAATATATTTAATATATTAATATATTTAAAAAAAAATAACGTAGTCGATTTTTCGACCACAGTTGATTTTTCATCCCCTCCAATGGGCCTCGCTGCACTACTCTCGACATGCACAAAAGACAAAAATCATGGCGGTGTATCTGTCCCTAAGATAGCGGAAGATTCGTTCTTGTTTTGCACATTTAGAGAGCAGTACAGCGAGGCCCAAAGCAAAGAAAAACGAGCATGGCCGTACATGGCAGCCTCGTGATTTTTAGCGAACTTGGAGCGAGGGCCCCGCTCCCTTACTGACGCCACGCAGAAAGGACAAAAAATATCGCGGCGCATCTTCCCATGTTCTGGAGCAAGATTCATTTTCATTTTGCACATTTTGTGAGTAGTGGAGCAAGGCCCTTGATCACCAATATGCGGCGGCAGACTATGCAGATCAACGCCTAGGGTGGACCGCAGTAGTGCGTTTGGCCCTGGTTTCACAACTCGCCATCCGCCAAGATTTTGAATGCATCTGTACAAAATAATGTCCACATGCCATCAAAATGTTGGCGGATGGCGAGTGGTGCGACGAGGCCCTTTGTCTGGTGGAACCGTTTCCCAGGTGGTTGGTGGCGTAATCTCCCAAGCCCGAGGTGGGGATCTTTTCACAAGTGCAAGTCGCCGACTACCATTCATCTCAGCCGTAAGATCGTGGGATCGACGACTGGGACAAAGTGTCTTGGCGGGCTTTGGCGTCGTGGAAGGACAACCAGACTCTCAGGGAAACGCGAAAAAAACATAGAAAAAAACTGATCACGCGCGCACTTCCACCCGGCCGCCAGTAGACGATCCGTCCACGAGCGTGCTCGCAGCAGCTGGACAGCGCGGCACGCGCGCACCCACACACCTAAGCAAGCCACCTACGGCTGCTGTGCCTACGTGCCAAAACATCGCCGGCGACCGGTAGCGGACGGCAGTCGGTGAGGCGGTCGGTTCGTGCAGTATCTTCTTTGTGCTTTGCACGCGAGGTGAATAGGCGGGACAACCTGGGCGCGAGGAAGGTTAGGGGGGGAAGGCGGGGGGGGGCAAGGGCAGATGTGTGTGCAGAGGAGTCGGTCACGACACGATCGGTCGCCCGGCGGATACAACGGTCGATCGCCTACCGGTAGCGGCGGACTGGGAATCAACACTACTCGTTATACATCCCTCCTCCTCCTCGTACTCGCACGTATCTTGCGTCCGCCCGGGAAAATCGCCGCCGAAATTAAAAGTAAAAGCGTCCCCGGCGGGAGGATTTGGAGCTTCTTCTTGTGTATCTTTTCGTTCCTTCTTGTATCGGGGAAGAATCGCATGAACGAAGGTGGTTGGCGCCGTGCTCTGCCAAACCCTGCCCTCGGTACATCAGCGCATCAGGGACAATTCTTGTTCGTTTCAGCTTCTCTGGTGCACAGCTTGGCTGGCGAGACTGCAGCCCGCAGGTAACGGGAGGAGCGCTGTTGGATTTGTGCAGCAGCTTACACGCCAGTGCGTGCATGCTGCCGGACATCGCCGGCGCTGGTGGTTTGGGTGGGCGGAGAGAGAGAGAGAGAGATGGGGAAAGGTGTTTGAAGGAAAAGCCAAATCCATGAGGGTCAAGCGGTTTCTACTAGCGAAGCGTGATTGAACGAGTGATTGCGCGGAATGAGGGTGACGTCCAGAGAGAGAGAGACTGGACGGACATAACTTTCCTGTGTGCGAAGTGGAAAGTGTATGTGGTCAGGCGCCATTCTCGTCGACAAACTGAAGAGTTGGAGAAAGACTTCTGGTGTTCAATAGACATCCAAGGATCACGACCCGTTCGACGGATGCAAAGAGCGTGCGAGCGAGGGAGAACAGAGGCCAAGGGAATCTGAAGAGCGGGGGTAAGAGAGAGAGAGAGAGAGAGAGAGAGAGAGAGAGAGAGAGAGAGAGAGAGAGAGAGAGAGAGATTTTACTGGATTGGGCTGAATCAAAGAGGCGCGATATTGTGGAGGAAAGGAAGTACGGAAGGCAGGCAGGGAGGGAGGGAGGGGGAGGGGGTTGCACCAAGTAACAGGGTATAGAAGGATCCATTGGCACAGGGCTACTGCGCAGTAAACGAAGTGAGGATTGGTTGGTAAAAAGGGAAGGCATCAATGCGCACGTTATGCGATGTGTGTGAGGCGGCGCCTGCGCAATATTTCTGCGCTGCGGATGAGGCAGCGCTGTGCATGACATGTGATGAAAAGGTTCGTGTTACCCTTACGCGATCTCTTTTGTTCGTCTTTCGGCGCTCTTGAGTCTGGTTGTCTGTGAGGAGAGTTTTGGCTAACCTCTGCCCAATTCGTGCGCTACCCTACGCTGGTTCTCCACCATACCAACTCCCTGTTGGCTTCGCTGTTGTTGACTTCGCTGCTCGTCTTCATGAAGATGCGTACTATGCTTTTTGTTCCACCCTCCTGACTGCTGTAATAGGGATTCGCCCCGCTGGCTTCGGAGGGCGTTTGTCTTTCTTCATCTCGGCTTTGTGACGCTCCCTCTCTGTGCACCGATTTCTAGATTATGCCGTGTCGTGTGTTGGAGACGCTGAGGTCGGTTTTCGTTTGCTTGGCTCTCTAATCTGTGGTGGTCCCTCTACACCTTTCCTAGATAATGCCGTGTCGCTTCTTGGGGGTTGTATTTTCTCCGTGAGGTGAGGAGAAACAGAGTGACAAGCAATGGCCGGGTTTTACTTAAAACCAAGTCGATAAGGATCAGGACTAAACAATGTGCAGCAGCGCATGTTTCGACAACAACGTAGTTGGCACATTCTTGCCCTGTACGCGTTTCAGCTAGCTGGGCTGCGGCTTCTTCAGGGGGGCAAAACCCGCTTGCATGGCAGCGTCGGCGCCTGCCTGATGAGCTTCATGGGAGTGCTTTCACGACTCTGAATAGTGCGAGACAAGCGAACTCATCATATCAATGCACGCCTGGGTAAGATTAACAACAAAACACACCCGTGGATGCGCGCTTACGGAATCCTACAACAGGGGGAAATAGACTTACACACGTACGGATGCACAAACGCACACCAATACACGGAGAAGACAAACAACAAGAACACACGTGGATGCACGTTTAAGAGGCGTGTAGAACAAGGCGATACACAATTAAGCACATAGACATGCACATCCGCACACAGGGAAACACAATCTCGCGTTCACTCATTCATGAACACGAGCCCGAGCATATGTCACAATCTCGCGTTCACTCATTCATGAACACGAGCCCGAGCATATGTCAAAACGGTGGTGACGTGGTAGTGAAGTCGTCGATGCGTGTGTCAGATCTGTGGATTGTTCTTGGCATGCCCAGGTTTTTGATGTCACTCTAGCCTGTGTGACGAAATCGGATCTTACAGAGGGGTATACGCATTCGCACGCACGCACATACACACAAACAGATAGAGATAGATAGATAGATAAATATAGATATAGATATGTATGTGGAGAGAGAGAGAGAGAGAGAGAGAGAGAGAGAGAGAGAGAGAGAGAGAGAGAGAGAGAGAGAGAGAATTTTGTATCAGCGTCTGAGTCAACTATTGTATCCGCCTGTCGAAATAGGAGACGATTTCATTCCTTGGGAGGCTCGGCGCTGGGAAGAACGGGTTGGGAGGAAGGTTTAAATTTGGGCATTTGTTGATAATATGGTGTTGCACTGGGGCGAATTAGCTGGCGGGTTTTTCGTGCGTAATATGGGACGATAAAGTGGTCCATGAGGACGATGATATGCGAGTGAATGATTGGCTGTATAGCTGCATTTCGTATCAGGTTATGCCTGATAAGCAGGCCTCCAGCTTGCAAACGAGAGCGAACACCTCGTGATGATGTCGTTTCTGGTGGATTCAGGCAGGAAACATGCTTGGCTTACAGCAGCATTCAGGTCCTCGTTAATTTCCCCATTAATTTCCCCCCCTTCGACATTTGTCCCATATTTATCTATGAAGTAATTCTTGTTTATTCGTTGAACGACAGGGTCGAAGAGCGACGGCGGACATCTTTCTCGTGCGGATGTCCTTAGTTGGGCGGGTCCACATGGCCTAAATGCCAATCGATTGTGTAGCCCCTCATGGAAGAGCGAAGCGGCGGCTAAATACTATACGTTAAATTAGCGAATAACAAGTATGTATGTATCTCATAAGCGTGGGCGGGCAGGCAACAACCGAGTGAATGCGATTAACAAGTGCGCAGCAGATCTGAGTGATTGTTATGGATCTGACCCGTAGCCGACTTGCGCAGCAGATCTGAGTGATTGTCATGGACCCGACCGGTAGCCGATTTTTTGTGAGTGAAAACCAGTTGTTCACGATCCAGTGCGCAGCACTCTTCGAAGCTCTACTTTTTGGTTTCCCTCCTATAGAAGAAGATCGGGTTATCGGTTCCCCTTGAATACAACGCACCGTCATTTCGACTGTATCGCGCGGGAAAGTTACCGTCTATACGGTTCATTTTAAGTGTGCGTTATGTTCGGAGGAAGATGGTAGGCAATGGCTCCTTTGCAAACGAGAAATGAGTTTCTCGGGAGAAGGGATCGAGTATTAAGTAGCAAGTAGTCGAAGAAGAGAGAGAAGACGACAGCGATGGAAAAAACAAATCTGAACGGGGGTAGAACGAACAGCGGGCGCCGAAAAATTCTGAATGGGGAACGGAAGTTGAATATGAAAAAAGGGAAGTGGACAGGCCAGTAGTGCATTGCGCGAGTGTGATATTTATTCCCCCTGGTCAGACCAGCCTCTTTGCCTATAGTTAGTGGCAGACGGTGCGTCAGACACGGCGATTTCTGAGTCGAACGTTGTAACCACCGGCGGAAAAGGTCATATTGATATCGCGACGTAGATCATGGTCGGGCATTGATATCGCTCTTCTGACTCTTTTCGTCTGTTCTCCCTTGCGCTTGCATGTGCTCTTTTTTTTTGTGTTCGCTGTAAGCGTGCTTTTCTGATGGAGTTGCTTTTCTTTTTTTTTCGTCTCCCCTCCTCCTGGATCCCCTCTACCGTCTTCACCCAAATAGGACGTACGACCATTCTCGCTGCATCTGGACTGAAAGTTGTGCCAAATACAGGCAGAATGACCGTACATTTTATTCGTGGGAAGACGGTAGCCTTGCGTGTGTTTCTTTCGGTCTTCTTGTCTTTCAGCTTCCCTTTTTCCACTTCCGATTTGCGCTTCTGCTCTGTGCGATTGTGCTCGATGGGTCATGTCAAGGTCCGGAGAGAACGTCTTCCTGGGTGGGACCGGCGTACTCTTTTGCCTTTTTTTATATAAAGGCCGGCCTTTAGCACTCGCGCACGGTTTTCATCATGAGAGGGGAAGCAACCGTGTGGATGGCAATCATTTGTGGGTGTCGTATGTATGACCCTGTTGAGGATGTTCATTAAGGATGTTCGGTAATCTGGAAGTACACGACTTATATGAGCGGCGCATCTGGAAGTACACGACTTATATGAGCAGCGCAAGTGATTCGTGGCGGTGGATTATTCCGATCAACGGCGAGAAAAAAGCCTTGGGACCAGGACGTTCATTTGTGCATGGAAACAGCTCCCTCTCCGCGCCCGCAATTCTTTAGAATAAGAGGCTCTTAAGAGCAAGACTAGTGGGATTTTTCGGTTCATATTTCAATTTGGGGTTCTTTGGTACCATATTTTGATCTGCCTCAGCATTCTGTTGTTTCCTGAGCTCACCCGCAGCGCCATATCCTTTATGGGCTTTCGAGTGGTTTGAAACAAGTGTTTGTTGGTGTGTGCGTGTGTGTGTGTGTGTGTGTGTGTGTGAGAGAGAGAGAGAGAGAGATTCTGGAGAGTAGAAACGGAGAGAACGTCTTCGAAAATCTCATTTGGAGTGTGGGAAGAGTCTCTACCAGAAGCTGACGGAAAGTAAAGGAGATGGAAGGAAAAGGCGGGGTCCTGCGTGCTGTCCCTTTGGCAAATCTTCGTCTCGAGATGAGCCCTGTCTGTGAGGCGAAGTTTGTTTGTTCGTGTCCTGGTGCGCCACGTAGCTTGTGTTGCTCGTGGCGCCCTGTCAGTTCTTTCTCTGGCCGTTTGTGCTATTTTTAAAATAGCCCAGTCCTCCGTGATTCAGGGTAGTAGCTCCCGCTGCAACTTATGGAGGGTGGTGAATTAGATCCCAGAAGGAAGCATGCTACCGTCTTCCCCCGAACATAACGCACCGTAAAAATGAATGTATACAAGCTATATTTCCGGCCAGATACGGTCAAAATCAGGGTGCATTGTGGTCGGGGGAAGACGGTAACGTTCGAACGTCACGGTAAGAGCGAGTTGCGGGAGCTGCAAAGTGTACCCAGTGTTATTAGGATAGTTTGATATTTCGTTGGCTCACAATTTTCCTTGAGGGTGCATCTCTCTCTCTCTCACACACACACACACACACACACACACACACACACACACACAGAGAGAGAGAGAGACGCCTGGTATCGGGAAGGAACTGTCTGGCCACTGAAACATCGAGCGAAGATGCTGATTGTTTTATTGTCTTTCCTGTTTCCTCTTCGCGTATGTGTTGGCGGCTCGTTTGTGTCGTCGATGTTCTTGGCTGATCTGTCATTTTAAAGGTTCATGGCTGCAACAAGTTGGCAAGTCGGCATGTGCGACTGGAGCTAGCAGAGGCCCGTGCGGTTCCTCGGTGTGATATCTGCGAAAATGCTCCTGGTAAGCGTCGTTGCATCAGGAAGAGAACCCCCTGATCCTATCTGTTTTAAGACTGGTCTTTATGCATGCATTCCAATCTCGGCGTCGTCTGCAGTGTTTCCTCGACATCACCGAACAAAGAACAAGGAACATCGCAAACCAGCGACTCATCTTTTCTTTTTTTTAACCAGTGACTCGAGTTTTCTTTTTTCATTTCACGATATCAGCTTCTAGTGCATCTCGTGCAATGTTATGCGCGCCATTTCTTGACCTAATGGCGAGTCACAAGCTGTTGTGTTTGGAAGCGTTCGCGCCATTTCGATTTTTGTGTAATTGGAATGGATTGTGCATGCAGTCGACTCACCGATTAGCTACAGGGCCATCGAACATTGTGGTATGATGATCATTCAGACATGTGATGGGTTATATGATGCATGGTTGGTTTACGTCAATGGCCCATGAATGAAAGTGGGTTATGTGAAGAGGAGTATGAAAATGGGTTATGTGAAGAGAGGAGTATGGCTCGGTCAGGTATGTCTGTGACTGATGACCCTTGCGGCGTGGTTGTGCTCCGTGGTTTCTGTTCTTTTATACCTGCAGCTTTTTTCTTTTGCGGCATAGACGGTACCTCCCTGTGCCTGCAGTGTGATATGGACGTTCACACTGGCGGGAAGAAGGCGCATGCACGGTACTTGCTGATGGGCCAGAGAGTGGAGGTGAGAGCATCAGCTTTTTTATTGCCTTGCTTTGGTGCTCACCTTTCGCTTTTTCCTCAATTTACTTTACCTGTGGCTCGTAAACAGAGAGAGGCTCTCTAGCTTGTGGTGTATCAGGCAGGCGGCATTGTTCCTTTCCTGGTGCTCGTGCTGGCGCTGGATCTGTTTTGAAAAATTACCACCTTCGTGCCCTCGGGGGATTATTATGTTAATCAACGGGTTTTCAGTTCCACGCCGCGTTAGGCCTTGTTGCTGTCAAGTCGTCCTGAAGGGCCAGCTGCAGGGGCCCAAGGGAAAACCTCCCTGTTAGGGGCAGCTGCACGTGCCGAAGAGAAAACGTCTCTCTGTTCGACGATGTGTGGCCCTGACTCGGCTGCTGCTGTTGCTGCTACCACCACCGCTATCAGCAGACAAAGAAGCTACCTTTTAATATGTTCAAATGGTGAAGGAAGAGGGGAAGGGCAAACAAATGGTTCGCCCGACAGTGTCAGGCAATGGAGAGAAGAAAGCAGGCGTGAATTAAAACCAACCATGATAAGCACAGACAGCACAAAACAACAAGGGAGTTGAGAGAAAATGCCACGACTTCTGCCAGTTATCTGTCTGTTTCTTTTACCTCATGCATGTGACAAAGGGCTGAAAATAAAGCAGGCGTGCTAGGTTTCACATAGGAGGGTTCTTTCCTGTTGCCGATCAATCAGAGAATAGCGGCTTCGCTTTGGCAGAGCTTGCTTGGTTCTTATAGATTTAGGATGTGCAGTATATGAATGACGCGTTCAGTCTTGTGAGTCAACGACGCAAGTGACTCTCTGTTGTGTAGCTCAGCGCCGTTGACATGACGTCTGTGCTTGCTTCTTGTCTTTCTCGTCGATGCCTGGCTTTGGAAGTAAGGAATTGGACTCCAGTGAGGGGTAGGGTTGGAAGTAAGGCATTGGACTCCAGTGAGGGGTAGGGTTCGCTTGCTTTCCCGTGCGAGTTTCCGTTATCTTGCCGAGGCAAGGGAGCAATTCTTTCTATGCCATCAAAATAGGATGACTGGCTCTTCTCTGAAGAAGGGGGGGGCGGGGGGCCAGAGTTGATTCGGATTTGTACTTACTGTGGCTGATCACATGTATGTTTCTCGTAATCAGAACACCCCCCACATTGCTTGTTGGGGGTGGTGGTGGTGATGGTGGTTGTCGTGTTGTCGGTGTTCAACATGGCCTCTCCTGACGTGGTGGTCCTGTGCATGCCTATCTTGTGGCTCGTTCGCATGTGCCAGCTGCCGATGAAAAAAGTGCGAGAAGTCGCTGTTGCCGGTGCAATGCTGAAATCACAGCCGGTGAAGACGCAATTGTCGCACCATCACCAGCATAGTAAACAGGGGAGAGACGTGCAAAATTCGAGAATGCAAGTCCGTGCTGCTGAGCGTCAACGACCGCAAGTGACAGAAAGGCAGAGTGTATGTGCGGAACAACCAGCTGCTCATTCGCCCCAGCCGGGCTGTCCTCTCAAGAGTGATACAGCGGGTGGAGGGGATGGTGTCTCTCCTGATCAGGTCAACAGGGGGCCACCGGCAGATTGTGCAGTGCCTGCCATGCACGTAACTGCCATGGAGGGCAATGAGAGAGATGATGCTGGCGAAGGGGAGAGTGCCAGAAGAGATGAGCAGGGCCGAACCCAGGAGCGTGAATGCATAGACCTCAATTCTCGGCCTCGGCATCTGAAAATAGTCAAGGTATGTTAATCCCTCTCTATCCGAAACCCCTTTGCCATGGCATGTTCATCCCTCTCTCATTGAAATCCCTTTGCTGGTCATGCCTGTGTATCACTTGTATCGCATGAGGTCCAACCTCTCCCCCGCCCCCACACCCCCCTCCCTCCCTTGTGGTCCTCTTACCTCGAACAAATCGTCCTCGTCTCTTCCCCAGGAATAACCCTCTAATGGGCCTACCTCACTGCCATGAAGACAATGTGTGGAAGTAGTGTCGTCTGCTGGTTTGTTCTCCCACGCTGCGGTGAGCTGGCTGCTTTCACGACTGTGATTAGCTGGCCCAGCGGAGTTCTCTGGTCCTGGCCAAGGTCGTCAGCATAGCTAAGTTCTGTAGCATAGAGCGTGACGAAGGATGCAGATCACAGTGCTCAGCTGCTGAAATGCCAACTGCGCTTCTGATTGGTCAAAGCCGGGTGTATCGAGTGCGAAGGAGGCAGATAAATAGAGACATAGGTAGACACAGATGTATATGCATAGCATCTTTTTAACAGCGTGCAAGTGGGGGTTATGCTGCACACGGTATGCAGCAGCTGGCACTCGTCTGTACTTTTACGGAAGTTGGCACGTCTTCCCTTTTATCGTGTGCAAGTGGTCCGTTATAGCACATGGTATACAGCCAGCTCACGCTCATCTACACCACCGTGACGAGCCTTGTGCCTGAGGCACAGGGCATACTCACACGGGGACCAAAAGAACCAAAAATTTGAGGCATCTGGGTAGGGTTATTTGGGTCATTTGGTCCCTGTGTGGTCACACGTGCGGAAGGACGAAGTCGCAACCCTGACACTTTGCACTCAGGGCAAGGTCGTGTGGTCACACGAGGGGACACCAAAGAAAAAAAAAAGAAAAAAAAGAGAAAAGAAAAGAAAAACAACTGCGGCTGGTTGTCTTATTCTTCTACGATTTTCTACAAATTGAGGAAAGGAAACGAAAAAAGCGTTTGGTCATTTGAGACCACCTCTGGAGGTGGTCTCAAAAAGGGTACCCCCGCGGCTTCGCAGGCCGCTGACATTTGGTCAGGATTTGAGGCATTTGGGTACAGGGCCAACCCCGTGTGACCACAAAAATGCCTCAAATTTTGGGATTTTGGTTCATTTGGTCCCCGTGTGAGTGTGCCCACAGTAGAGTTAGAGCTGACAGAAATAAAAGAGCGACCGTGAAAAAAAACAAAGAGAATCTCAGAGTTAGCACAAGAGCACAGAAACGCAGCACGGGTAACAGAGCTAGCGCCAGGTTACAGACTCGGGCAAGGCTCGCGCACGTCAGTGGCACAGACTCAACTCGGGATCCTCACAAAACAGATGAAAAGAACAGCATTTTCTCAGAAAGTGCAGGAATCTCAGACTGTGACATGCGCGTGTCACTTCATATACAGGTTTCTCAAGCTCTGCGGCCATAGCTGCCAACAATGACATCAAGCAGTTCTCTCTCTCTCTCTCTCTCTCTCTTTCTCTCTCTCTCTTCTCTATCTACCAGTACATGTAGGTATTGTGACCACTCTCTAACTGCCCTCGCAGTTCTCTCTCTCTATTATTGCACTCCACTACAGCTATGGTGCACAGCGCCGTCGACAACTTTCTACCGGATTGCACAATAGTAGATCAAGCCTCACTTGTGTGGAGGCTTGAGACAAATGGACACTACCTTCCTCCCCGGAATAGATTGTACGGTCTTATCTGTGTATGTAGACCGGAAACTCACCCAAATACAGCTATAATGACCGTACGTTGTGTTTGGGGGAAGAGAAATGGACGCTTATCTTATTGCCCGGAATAGAATGTACGGTCCTTATCTGTATTTAGACCGAAAGATCGCCCAAATACAGCTATAATGACCGTACATTGTGTTCGGGGGAAGAAGGAAGTCATCATCACGAATGGAAAGAGTATGAGCCTTGTATTTCTGGAGTGAAGTCATGTATTTCTAGGTAGTGCCTGGTACGCATACAGGTGGAGTATACGTAATTGGGAGTGTGTGTACATAAAATATATGTATATATATTATATATATATGAGAAAAAATGTTATGGAACATAGTACTTGGCTTTTATGAACAGTCGGAGCGAAACTCGAGTTGAAAATCAGAAAAGAAAGAAGAAAGTATTCCCTCTTATGGGAGTAAGTCAACTGGAAACCTGCGTACACATACCCCGTGCTACCCAGATGTATGTATTTGGAAGAGTTATTTTGTCTAGGAGCGAGGGGCAGTGCTACCCGGTGGTCTGGCGTTCAAGTAGTCATGAACCTGGTCGTCGTGGAACTGGTGTGTTCTGTTACGATCGGGTTTCTTGTGTGCAGTGAAACCTATTACTGTGTGTGCTTATCAATCAGCCTATGGCAGCAAGATCCTAACGTCCGCTTGGTTTGATCTGAATGTGGATGGATGTGGATGATGGAATGTCTGATGACAACAGAGGGCAGAGGCGGCTTTGGAGCAGTCGAGAAGCAGCGATGATGATTGTCCGGGTGTTGTTCCCGAGGTAGACCCTGGAAACAGCTCCGGTGTTATGGAAGAGATCAAAGCGCCGCACTGGCAGTCAGAAGAGCCAAGAACGTTAGAGGAAAGGAGACACAGATTGGACACTGCAAAACATGAGAGGCTGCTACCCAGCAAGAAGAGGGCGCGGGTATGAGTAGGGATCTTCAGCAACATGTTGTACATTCGTTAGGGCCCGTGCCCAGTCCTCCATGGAGCAAAAGCACGTGATGAATCTTATTGAACATCAAGGCAACGTCGATACACTGTGGCATGGTGGCTTTTCTTCGTCTTTTTCCCGGTGTGTGTGCATGTGTGTGTGTGTGTGTGTGTGTGTGTGTGTTGGGGATGCACACAGCGGGGAGAAGCAGACAGGGGGGAAGTGATGAGGGAGGTCCTGCAGTCAGGTGTTAGTGCAGTTTGTGATAGAGGGAGAGGGGAGAGATGTGGAAAGCTTTCATCTCCACGGTGTGTGTGACGGTGGAAGATTGGAGACCGACCTGTCAGGGAACCTGTTTTCAGAAGCAGAATTTAAGTTTAGCAAACTACCATGTCCTTTGTAGCGCGAGCACAGGTTTAAACTTCTGGTCTTGTAGCTTTTTGTGGCACGAGGAAGGGAGACGTAGAGGGAGGGGGAGAGGAGTTGGCGGGGAGATTCTGGGTGTTGTAGTCGGTCTCGAGTGTGGCGAGTAGTAAAAAGACTGGTCTGGGGGGCTTTTTGATTATGGAGTTGATTTTTTGGATTGCTTGATGAATAACATTCACAGCAGGGCAGCAACAACTCTGCTGGAATCCGTTTTGTTGTAAATATGAACATTTTTCTGTCTTCGAGAGAGTAGGAAATATTGTTGACGAACAGGACGAGCAGCTTGCCAGCGTATGCGCTCGGGAGCCAGCTTATGTTGTCCGGTCGACTCGACCGAGCCTGCACAGGAGAGGAGAGGAGAGGAGGAGAAGGCTGCGCATGGGGGGCGCATGGGGGTATATTAATGGAAGGAGCATTCGGCGGAGCTGTGCAGGGTGTATGTATGCGTGGCCGCCGTCTGTCACAGACAGCGGCCGCTGCCACCAAGTTAGATGTGTACAGTGTACGTGTGGGTGATTATGGTAGGACGTATTGTAGTTATTGCGGGCTTGAGAGCAGTATCTGCGCGACGGATCTGGCTTTTATGGAGTGGGACTGCTCAAGGAGATGTGAACATATAGGTCTGCTTCGGGTCATTTCGGGGAAGAGGGGAAATCTTCAATTTTCCAGTATCTGCACGACGGATATGGCTTATGTGGACTTCTCAAGGAGATGTGAACATATATAGGTCTGCATCGGGTCATTTCGCGGGAGAGAGGAAATCTTCATTTTTCCTACAATTTATTGAGTGGAGCTGCTGGTGTCGATTTGAAGAGGGTGGTCTTGTCCCTGGAGATTTGCCTGTCCAGTGTTCACCCCTGGCTTTGCTGTTTTGAGGCGATTCACCGAATGCGCAATATCCATGGGTCCAATGACTCCAGTCGTCTTATGCCACGCAGTGCCTTCTTGCCTAGACTTGTCCAGATATGTGTGTTGAAGGCATGCATACGGGGAAGGGGTGGTGGTGATCCTCTTTGCGCCCTCCCATTCTGTTCTGGCAACATGGGGAATGTTAGCTGTTCTTTTGGCATCTGGCTGTCAGTTGTAGAGGATGCAAAGCAAAGGTGAGGGCCTTTGAAGTCGCTCTGTGGGGGTGTTGACGGGATGGACCTTGAAAAAGGTTTGAATTAGAGGGAGATCCGAATAGCGTGTAGTTCTCTCCAACCATTTCACATGTAAAGCCTCTGTTGGGTGAGAGGGTAGGGGAGAGGGGAAGATATCTGTTAAGGGACGGGGCCATAAATACATGATGAAAGGCTTGAATCCGGTATAGACTGCCGACAGCTCGAATTCGGTATAGATTGTCGACAGCTCGAATCCGGTATAGATTGCAGACAGCATCCAAATTTTAACTCCTTGAAATTTCCTTCTTGAAATTTCGTCCTTTCTGTTTTTAGGCTTTTCCAATGCAATGTCGAGCTGGTAGGGAGATAATTTTGAACTCTTTTTGTTCTCTATTTTGGAGAGAGCTTTTTACATCCAGTGTTATTGTTGGTAGCCACGTTGCTTTTTCTACTTCTCCTCTCGCTGTCAGCCTTCATTATTCAATATGCATTCCACATCCCGCGCGCTGGTCAGTCCAAAAAACTAACCCCTAAACCAATAATCCTCTTCCTCCGATCCCAAAAATGTCTTGTTTTCCGCCTTGCCCTCCTTTGCATAGAGTCCAATCTTAATGGAGCCAGTTGGAAGCCGAAGGCTATGTCTCAGAAAAGTGCCACCAAAATGTTCGTTTCCATGTGGTTGTTGGGGCTGGGGAAAGGAAAGGTGCTTCCCTCGTCCTGGGGGAAAGCAGAGCAGTCTGCTAGAAAATTCACAATTGCCAAAAGGATATGATCCTCAACAACGAGGAAGATCAATGCGTAATGTAAGGACTGCTGGGAATCGGTTGACCTCTGCACTTGCCGCTTACTCTGCTTCTAACGGCAGTGTACGGTGTTCTGTGGGCTGCAGCAATGGGGGATTGCGAATGTGTTGGGGTTAATTATGATTCATAGTCGGATAACCTCTGCACTTGCCGCTTACTCTGCTTCCAACGACAGCGTACGGTGTTCTGTGGGCTGAAACAATGGGGGATTGCGAATGTGTGGGGGGTAATTATGATTCATAGTCGGATAGACGCCCACGTGCAAGGTCGTCCCCAAGTGCTTTGGCGGTGTTCATCGCTCGATGCAGTAATTGCTCAATGCGGTAAGGCCCTGAAAACAGGGAACAGCGAGTTGGGGTGCGCTTGGCACTCATGCTGCTGCTAATGGCAGTGTGCAATGTCCTGTGGGCAGAGGCAGTGGAATTGCAGATGTCTGGGGTTATAACTTCTAATCCCTTCCTTCCTTCCCCCGGATACAACGTACGGCCATCATTGAGCTGCATCTACATTGAAAGATGCCTCGAGTACAGCGATTCGCCGATAATGCCCGTATGCTGTATTTGGATGGAGGAGGTAGTTGGATCAATGCACTTTCACCCAGTTACCAAATGCTGTGGTGGTCCTCATCAGTCAAACCTGTAAGTGCCCTGAAAACTGGGAGCAAATATCTGGTACTCGCAACAATCTGGTACTCGCTACATGTGAACACCGAGAAATATTTGTGTGCTGGTTGCATGTGTTGGCCTGAAGGATTGTGGTCATCGGTTTGCACTTTTCTCCAACTTGTCAGATATAGCTTGAGTGAAGGCAACGCACATGTGATGGCCACAGCAGAAAGGAGAGCCATCAGTACATTGACAGATTGAGAACCCACACGCGTCCGCGTCGCTGGTTGTGGCAATGCTTGATTGATTGATTGATTGATTGGTTGATCGACTGATTGATTGATTGATTTATTGAGCTGTCCCTTGCGGCCGCACACTGCTGCTCGGATTTGCCTCTGCACTGGTGCGAATGGGCTCTTCACAAGGTGAGGGATCGTGGAGGTGATTATCTTTTTCCTGCGTTGTGATTGCGAGCTTGATTTCCTCATCGGGCGTCTATCCCTCTCATAGTGGGACTCGGCAGCCAAAACTCCTACTGGTCATCCAGCCACCCCACTCACCCACGCTAACATAAATGGGGACAAAAGAAAAAGAGGTTGCCATTTCCTTAGGTCAGCACCGTACCACAGCGAACTGCAGGTGTCTCGGGGGTGCCGAGTGGGGTCTTGAGGTTTTTAATTTGATCCTCGTGTTAATTAGTGGACATGAGCCAATCATGTTTCGGTGATGATCCCCAAAGGATGATCAATGCAACCATTTTATTTTATTTTGCTTTATCCTTCGCGTAGGTTATCCCGCCCAGATATCTTTTCAGAGTTGTGGCGCATACACCCTGCTGCGACTTTTGGGGGTTAGGTACCGGACCAAAGTGGATGGATGCGCCAGACAAAAGCAGGCCTGCGGCTCCTCGTTGGTTCGTTTTTGTTTGGTTTGAAGGCAAAAACTGTCCTCGCATGCTGCCTCCTGTGGGCCCATGGAAAAACAAAAACCACGAGTAGGATCCTCAGAGGCTATATGCCCATCGCAACCATTCTATATCTCTCTGGTTGAAGATATGGTCAGATGCCATTACAAAACTTGTGGTTGAGTTGACCCGAGCTTATTTCACCGCGGCAACCAACCATGTTCATAGCGGTGCCAACCGGAATCAAGATATTTAGTTGGATCGCCACTATGTTGAGAGGTTCAATACCATGAAAAACACCTATGTTATCTGCTGTAGGATTTATCTTCTTGCTTACCATAGGTGGCCTGGTTATTTTGCAGGGGGGGTCAGCCTTGATGTTATCTGCTGTAGGATTCATCTTCTTGCTTACCATAGGTGGCCTGGTTATTTGCAGGGGGGGTCAGCCTGTAGCATCAGGACCAAGCTTCTTCGATGGGCCAGTTGCTGTGCCTCCCCTCTGGTCGCCTCTCTCTATGAACATCAGCATTCTCTGCTCAATGCCACTCCGGGGAGCCACGGGCCTATCTCTAGGTGGCGGGAGCTGAGCTTGCCCAGGAAAGTATGTGAGGCCAATGGGGATTGGGCCCTAGACCTCCTGAATGCCACTTGCATGCCTTACCAAATGACCTAGGCCGCTGGATGGTCATGCCAAGATTGCACCCTCAACCTCCTGAGTGCTACTTGCGTGCCTTACCAACTGACCTAGGCTGCTGGATGGTCATGCCAAGATTGGGAAGAATCAGAGGGAAGAACCAGATTGCACCCTCAACCTCCTGAGTGCTACTTGCGTGCCCTACCAACTGCCCTAGGCTGCTGGATGGTCATGCCAAGATTGGGAAGAACCGTGCATGGGAAGTTAACTTTCCCCCCTCTTTTTTTCTTCTCGCATCGTTATGGGGACGCTGCTGGGCAGTTGCCACTCTTATTTTCTTGTTCGCGAGGACTCGTGCCAGACGGGTGTATGGTTTTGGTTCATTTGGCGCCCGACTTTTTTTTTTTATTATCTCGGGTGGGGGAGGCCGAGATACTCTGTGAACGTGGGGAAACGTTCGCCACTCTAGCTGTGTCACATAGCAAAGCTTCAATGGAGGAGGATGGAGCATGGAAGGAGGATGAGGAAGGAGGTCGTTGATGATTGAGGAAGCTGTACGCAGCGCGGAAGATGAGGGGGGAGTACATTGATGATGGATGGAGGAGGGCAGTGGGTGGAGGGAGGGTTCGGCTGGAGGAGGGAGGGACGCCGAGGCGTAGAGCAGTGGAAGGAGCAGGACCTGAGCAGGAGCAGGAGAGGGAGGAGGACCAGAAAGAGGAGGGGAGGGAGGAGGCGGCAAAGTAAGCGCAGGAAGCGGAGGAGGAGGGCGGGGGATGAATTCAAGGGAGACCATGATTTTTTCCTTTTGTTTTCGTTTCCATTTTCTTCAGGGTCCATGCTGATATATGAAGGTAACTTCGTCTTATGAAGCATGGGGCCCCGTTAGACCCTCCTTGGAAAATCCTTAGAGGAATTGGGATGAAGTCATTGGAAAAATATTCGGTTTTCGGAGTCCTTGCTACACCACCTCCGAAGTCCATGTGTCCCGAGGAAAACCCTTGGAGGTCTCTGGTGGCCAATTTCATATGCGGCCGAGGGTGTAGATGTCCGTCGTCGTGCTGGGTCGTCCGGCGTCCTCGTCGTGGGCCATTAGCGGAGACAGGCAGGCCCACGGCAGGCTATCGGGGTGGGAAGAAAAAATTGGCACGAACATCCTGGTTCAAAATTTGAAATTTGAAACCTTCGTTATGACGCATCCGTGTCAGAGGCGTCCAGGCGGCTGGAGTGCACAGTGGAGTGAAACGTCTGTGCGGAGGAGTACTGGCGGGCATTGGAACGCACAACGACGAAGCGCCAACGGTAATGGTCATCCTGCACGACATCGCCAACGGGTTCCACCTTCCTCTTCGGGTTGTCCGTGACAATCCTGTGGACTGCCATAGCTGACCGCGCACGTCGGGGGTGCGTGCACAGCTGACCGCGCACGTCGGGGGTGCGTGAAGCGTGGGATTCGGTGAAGCGCGGAGAGTGCTGGTGCCATCTCCGTCGACGTAGAGACAAGGGAACGAGGGTGCCAGCGAGCGAAAGGGTGTTGGGCATTTGTGCATTGCACGTCGTGAACATGGAGGGAGAGGTGCGGGCCGTCGGGAATGCATTGACGACTTTGGAAAGAAATGAGGTGGTTGCAGCTGTGTTGGCCGTTGCCATTCATTATCGCATTGAGAGAACGACAACTCACCTGAAGATGAGACTGTCCATTCGCAGGCAAAGGCAGCTCATGCAACGAGTGATGGAGGCGCCCGATTGTGTGTCGTATTGGAATCCATTGTGCAATTCTGCTCTGCCATGGCATCGGGTGCGATCCTGAGGGCAACTCCGAGATGGTGGATGCGGAGGACATGGGAGGATCTTCGGAAGCTGGATGACGCGGCGGAGGGCTACTATAAGGAGAAGTTGCGGATGACCCGTAGAGTGTTCCTGGAGATCGCTGAGGCGTTGTCCCCTCATCTGCACCGCAGGGTGACATTCTACAGACAACCTTTGATGCTTGATCACATCATCACATACGTGCTTCGTCGTTGGGCAAGCGGGGAGACATACGCGAGCAACGCGTCGTCATTCGGCATAGGTCGCGTATCGCGGTTGATTGCAGTGGAGGACGTGCCGAGGCCCTTCTGAGGGTGTACAGGGAAAAAATCGTTTGGCCCGGGTTGCGGTGGCTGCTCTGTGCGTGTTTGAGGCGACGGGTTTCCCTATCTGCTATGGTTGCATAGACTGCACACACATCTACGTGGACAAACCAGCGAATGCGCCATCCGAGAACTACTTCGACCAGAAGCATCATTTTTCGGTGGTTGCGCAGGTTGTTCTGGACTTATGTGACAGGCGTTTTCGTCGACTATCCCGCGAGCTATTACGACATCCGAGTGTTTCAGCTGTCCAGTATGTGGAAGCGCGCTGAAGAGGGGGGCCTTTTCCGTGGTCCTGATGTGCTCCTGCTGATGCAGACACACGGATACATCCTTGACGATAACGACTCTCCTCCCATGGAGTGGATCCTGGTGCCT